AAAATAAAATACTACATTTTTTTGGTAAGAATTAATTTTCAAACAAATGATGCTACGAACCTAGGGTATTTAGAAAGTTTCCTACTGTCTGGTATTCAAGATCAGGTTCTACCCACCTGACAGCAAATCTCTTAAATGTTCTAAGCATCCTTTAAAAAGGAAATACCTTATCTGAGAAGTTGTGACAATGACTAAGATAAAGTGTAGGAAAAACTTTTCAAACTGTAAAGCAAATACAAGGTATTATCAGTAAAGTGTTTATTAAAGGTCAGTGGAAGAATTCTAACTGCCTTCAAGGGGAGGGCTGCTAAAGAAACTATGGGCTGGGCAGGGATTCTCTACACCTAGATGTGCAGCCTCAAAAGGAAGCAGTAGCCACCAGTTCTGGGCTGTAGGAAGTTGCAAATCCACAGAGGACAGGTCCTACTAATGTAAATTATGTTCCACATCACAGTATTAGGAAATAACGTATCAGGACCAGATTGAAGTAATATTATTGAAAAAACAATAATGCAAAAACCCTCATGACAGTTTAGGGAGACCCTAGGAATTCTCAAATACACATAAAGGCTTTAAAATAATGTGTTTCCTTATGCTATTTTGTGGCTTTTCTAATTCTTAGCTTTGGTTATAATCATAAACCTTGCTATAGTTTTCTAGCTATTCTAGAATATAGTTCACAAGAGGAGAAAACAGTAAAAAATAAACATAGGCAGAAAATGTCTGAGAAAAAGAAATTTAAGACTAATAACCTGATTAATAACCTAGAAAAAATTTTAAAGCTGGGGATGTTTTGATAGCTGATAGCCTGAGAGCCCAAACTTCACAGGGCTGACAAGGTTCTGATTCTGGAAAGCAAAGGAAGGAGCTGAGTGAAGCACAACCTACCCTGATTTTAATTTAATTTAATTTAACTAATTTTAATTAATTAAAGTAAACTCTATGCCCACCGTGGGGCTCAAACTTATGACCCTAACTAAGATCAAGAGTCGCAGGCTTCGCCGACTAAGTCAGCCAGGCTCTCCAAGTACATCTATCCTTTATCAAGAAATACGCTCTTGTTTGTTTTAAATCTCAACTCTTGGGTTACCCAAGATGCTTTGTATTTTAAGAACTCCTGTTCCTTCTTAATCAGAGCCTTTTCTTGTGTTTAACTGCTCTGGGACACACAGTGCCTGCTAGATAGACATTGCCTTTAACCATTAAGAAGACAATTCTTTACCTTCATTTTCCTCCTCGCAACAGTTTCTAAAAAATAAAACAGAATATGTTTCTACTGTAATACCTAGCAAACTAATACCTAGTTATCTTCCTCTACAAATACATAGTTTCAGTGGGGTTTGGTGGTTAGAGTACGGAATTTGGAGCCAAAGATAACTATGTTCAAATCCTGTTCCTGTTGGTTTCTAGTGGGGTGATCTCAGGGAAGTTATTTATATCTCTTAGCCTCAATTTTCTCATCTGTAAAATGGGAACTAAAATACTCACTTGCAGTATTATTCTAAGAATTAGAGCTAATATGTACTTTACATAATATATACTTTGCATACTAAAGTACATATTAGCTCTAAGATTACTGTAAGAATTAGAGCTAATACATAAAGTATAGGCATTTAAAAATGATGATAATAATGACAGCAACCAACATTCGCTGGGTACTTACTATGTGCTGGGCATTATCCTAAGCAGTTTACTGGATTACTTCACATAATCTTCAGACAGTCTTATAATATAAATATTACCATTATCTCCATTTTATAGATGAGAAAAGTGAGGCACAGAAAAGATACATCACTTATACACAGCCATATAGTGGCAGATCTGGCATTTGAACCCACGCAGTCTGACGCTAGAATCCATAGCCTCAAATGGCAGCTACTGCTCCTGATCTGCTTGGACTCAATTCTAGCTTATGTGAAATAGAATCTACAAAACGTAACAACACAAGGCTAGAAGTAAGGCCTGAATAAGGTTGAAGCTAGGACTTCTGGTGCCCTTAAGGACATTCTGTAAGAAAAACAGAAGCTCTGAGCAGATTACTTGCCAAAACAAGATATTCAAAGCCTTGAGCAGTAACTTCCCATTACCTTGAGTGACTCATATTCCAGTTCTGCGCCTCTAATTTGTGGTCTTTCTTCTTCCTAGGGAAAATGTAAAGTTAAAAACTTTATAAATAAGTAGTTATATTTTAATTGTCACATTTTTACCCAGAATATTTCCTTGCTCCACAGAAAATAGTGAGGAGAGTTGAGCCCTCACTAAATGAACCAAATTCTGCTTAGATAAAGTACTTCTGGGCAGGGTTTCCATTAAAGAAGAGATTGCAGACTTGCACATAAAGTCCCAGACTCAGAGCTCAATTTGCCCTTAGCCCTGGGCTGGAGGAGCACTGCATACCTTTGCCTTGCTGCGGAGCACCTGCTCCTCCTTGCGGTCCAGCTCATCCTGCATCACCTGCTTCTCCTGCTCCAGCTCTGTGACCCGCTTCTGGAGCTTGAGGAACAATGACATGTCCAGAGGTACCTTCTTCTCACTTGGCTCCTAAACCCCAGAAATCATAAGATGGTCAAGATGATCCAGAAGATGTACAAGCCAATGGGAAAATAATGAACAGTCCAATAAAAAAAAAAGAGCAAACTTACAGAAGAAAAATAAACGGCCAAAAAGTATATAAAGAACACATCCAACCTAGCTAATGAATAGAGAAATGCAAACTAAGCAACAATTAGCACTACTTTCCCCTGTCAGATTGGCAAAGACTGGAAAGATTGAGAATGCCATGTGTTAGTAACAGCGTCTTATATAATACTGATGGAAGTATAAGTAGGCCTTGTAAAAGGGCAAGGTAACTGCACTTATTAAAATTTAAATGTGTATACCCTTTAACCTAGCAATATGTGTTTAAGAATTAATCCTGCAGAGATTCTTATACAGGTACACAAAAATATATAGAAAAAAATGTTCATTGCAGCATGTTTTGCAATTGTAAAAAATGGGCAAAAAACCCCTGAATGTCAATACAAGAGTTGCTTAAATCATAGTATAACCACACTATAAAATATTTTATAGCTGTTAAAAAAAAAAAAAAGAAATAGATATACATGAGTGGATAAATATGTCCTAGATAAAAGCATTAAGTGAAATATACAAGTTGTAGGGGTATTTATATTATTATCTTATTTTCATTACAAAAACAAACAAACAAATAAATGCATGTGACTCTTAAATATATCTAGCACATGGCATACAAAATTCGAAAAGGTCATCAATGGTTATCTCGGAGAATGGGAGGTGCTACGGGAGAGTTTCATTTTCTACTTTATACATTTCTTTTCTTTTTTTAATGTTTATTCATTTTTGAGACAGAGAGAGAGAGTGAGCAGGGGAGGAGTAGAGAGAGAAGGAGACATAAAATCCAAAGCAGGCTCTAGGCCCTGAGCTGTCAGCAGAGAGCCCAACACGGGGCTCGAACTCACAAACCATGAGATCATGACCTGAGCTGAAGTCGGGGGCTTAACTGACTGAGCCACCCAGGCGCCCTGACTACTTTACACATTTCTATATTAGAATTGCTTATAATGAGCATGACATGTTTTTCTATTTAGGAAAAGTGATTTGTGAAAAGGTGATACCATAAATATATTGAGATCAGACAGAGAAAAGCGAAAAACTAAAACATGTATAGCTCTTAGTAAAGTGAAATATAACTGAGTAGCATTTGAAAAGTACATCAATTGGTTCTAAAACAGACTCATAGTGAGAACTACTATGTGTAAATAAAGATACACTAACTAAAGGTGAGCAAAGGGAAAGAATTACCAACCACTACCACGGAAGTTCTGATCATGACATAGGTGATTTACCTGGTTTACTTCAGGTTTGAATTTTTAGTGAGATAAGAAGAGAAAGAATTGTGTCATTGGATTTAATGGAGAGGATAAAGAGTCTCTTTGTGTTAGAAAGAGAGAACACAGTAACAATAACTTAATTAAATGGTCAAAGTGTAATTCTTAACTGATTAGTAAATCTTATATTTCAAATTGTCAATTAAAACAATTTTTTTTCTGATGTAAAAGCAAAATAAGCTTATGAAGAAAGCTTAGGAAATAAGTACAAAGAAGAAAAACAAAGCCATAATCACATACCCAGAAAAAACCTACAATTTCTGTCCAGTCTTTTTTCTGTAGATTTAAGTAAATGGAATATTTTCATTCTAATTTTGTATTGTCTTTTAAATTTAGCATTGTATCACAAATGTTTTCCAAATATAGAATATGATACTTGAAACCATAATTTTTAAAAGCTATATTGACATGTGTACCATCATTTGATTATCTATTACCTTACTGATGGGCATTGAAGTTGTTTCTAATCGTTTGCTATTGAAATATAATAAAATAAATATCCTAGTACATAAATATCCAAATATTAATGTTTTAAAGTCTGCTAACTTGGTTGGACCAGCTTACACTTCCATCAAGCAACCAACACCTTGCCTGGTACAATGATGGTTAGGATTTAAAAAAAAAAAAAAAGGCTCAATTGATAGACCAAAAGTGGTATTTAAGTATAGTTTTAATTTATATTTCTTCATCTTTTGATGAGGTTGAATCATTTTTATATTCATTAGTTATCTTCGGTCTTTTGTGAATTGTCAGTAGTGTCGAATTTAGTGTTATTCCAGTTGTAAAAAAACATCTAAGAAGAATTAATTAAACTAAGAAGTGGGGCATTTATATGTAGACTATCAAGGTCATTTACCCACAAACTAGTTAGACCTGGATTTTTGCTTACTGTCCACTCTTGCAATGTTAATGTTCAACAGTAAGAAAAAGTTTAGGTATATGGTATTCACCATAAAGTTTGTCCTGACTTAGCAGAACAGACATAACATCCTGCCTGAACACGAAATTATTACACACTTTCATATAAAAACTCATTTCTATACATCCCATAAACACTTGTATATTAGCTTATTTACAATGTAAACATTCCATTCATGTGTTTTTAATGTTTGTTCATCTATTAATGATGTATGTGTACCTGAAAATTTTAATTATTTAATCTTTTTTTACACTGTAATAAAAGACTTTACCTCACAATGAGTATAATATTTCACTCATTGTACTCAAAATGTCATCATTTGGGAATCATTCCTTTCAGCCTTGAATGGGCATTTTCATTTAAAAGGAATCTTCTTGGGGCGCCTGGGTGGCGCAGTCGGTTAAGCGTCCAACTTCAGCCAGGTCACGATCTCGCGGTCCGTGAGTTCGAGCCCTGCGTCGGGCTCTGGGCTGATGGCTCAGAGCCTGGAGCCTGCTTCCGATTCTGTGTCTCCCTCTCTCTCTGCCCCTCCCCCGTTCATGCTCTGTCTCTCTCTGTCCCAAAAATAAATAAACGTTGAAAAAAAAATTTTTTTTAATAAAAAAAAATAAAAGGAATCTTCTTGGGGCGCCTGGGTGGCTCAGTTGGTTGGGCATTCGACTTCAGCTCAGGTCATGATCTCATAGTTCATGGGTTCAAGCTCCACATCAGGCTCTGTGCTGACGGCTCAGAGCCTGGAGCCTGTTTCAGATTCTGTGTCTTCCTCTCTCTCTGCCCCTCCCCTACTCATGTGTGCTCTCTCTCTCTCTTTTTCTCTCTCCAAAATAAACATTAAAAAAATAAGAAAGTAAAAGGGATCTTCTTATTAAAATGGGATGGGGTAACTCTTCAGATATTACCAAATACTACATAAAGGATTAGTTGATTGCTAGATAAAAGCAAAATTCTATAGATAGGAATATTAAAATAGGAAATGAAAGAACACAAAACTGCTTGAGGCATAATGACTGGTAATTATTTAGGAGTGCTCTGCATGGTGTCCATTCTTAGCCCTCATGACATATCTAGTCAAAGAGATACCATTTGTCTTCTCTATACCACATGAGCAAAAAGGAAGAATGGGCCATCTGGCTCAGAGGTTTCTGGGGGTTTGCTTTGCTTTCCTTCCTCAGAAAGGACTTTGTCATCCAGAGCTTTTCTGAGAGAGTGAAGCTTTGAAACTGACCTAAAAAATAACAGTCTCTCATCTGAGGAAAATGAGGAAGACAAGAGAACTTATTCATTAAATTACCACCGTAGGTCTGCAGTCATTCTGGAATTATTGCTAACAACAGCTGAGAAAGTTATGGTGACCTTTTCCCTGGGTTTGACATGTGTGAGGAAGCTCAAGGGCAGAAGCAGAACTGGGGTTATTTGTCAATGGCTACCAAGAAAGGAGAAGCCAAGTTTCCAAGAGAATCCAACACCTGACAATGAAGATGCACATGTGGGAGGGCTGCACAGAAGTGGAGCTGAGGTGGGCTCTCCAGAGGGAAACAGCTGAGAGGTGTGCTCAGCTCACTATCATGAGGTCATGACATGAGCAGTAATCAAGAATCAGATGCTTAACTGACTGAGACATCCAGGTGCCCCTAAACTCACGGACAGTGAGATCATGACCTGAGCTGAAGTCGGACGCTCAACCAACTGAGCCACCCAGGCACCCCTAGATTTCTATCCTTCTGATCCTGACCATACCTCATCAAAATTGTAGGATATTCACTGGAAGCCTGTTTATAAGAACAAAAACATGGACTTATCGAACACTTACTAGGTACCAAACACCATTGCAAGTGCTTTCTAAGAATTACCTCAATTATCAACTTACTATAAAGTAACATAATAATAATAGCATATCAATTCACAGATGAGGAAACTGAGGCACAGAGAGACTGAGGCTAAAGTTATGGACTCAGTTCCAGGAAGGAAAGTTATAGTAGTCGGTCCAATGTTCAAGATAGCCTTTCTAACCAGAGCTGGCTACATTTCAAATGCACGTACTTAGTCACAAGGAACAAGATGACTAGTTCAGTGAAAAGTCTTTCCTATTAGTGAGAAAGATTTCCAGGTGCACAACCTACTGCTAATGGTCAGTGCATGTGAAGGACAATATACAATGCTCCAGATCTGTCTGTGATTTCTGGAGCACAATTCATACTTCATTATTCAAAAGAGATGAGCAAAGTACTAAATCCCACTCTAAAATAACTGGTTTTTAAATTTATTTTTACTTTTTGAGAGAGACAGAGAGAGAAAGAGAGAGAGACAGAGAGAGAGAGAGAGAGCACATGCACTCAAGTAGGGAAAGAGAAGAAGGAGAGGGTGGGTTCTGTGCTCAGCTCACTATCGTGAGGTCATGACATGAGCAGTAATCAAGAATCAGATGCTTAACTGACTGAGACATCCAGGTAACCCTAAAATAACTCTTATTTGGGAAAAGGTTCAGCAGAATATAGATGAGAATTAGAAACAAAAAGGTTACCCCTCCCCTCAAATCTGGAAGAATTTGGACAAAACTTGAAAAGAGTAGAAAAATTAGGTAAAGCTCAGAAGAGTTTTTGAGATTAAAAACATAATGTCCTCAAGAAAAACTATCAATAAGATGCCTCTTGGCCCTGAGTTTAATACAAAATAATCTGCAGCAAAAACACCCTTTTCTGTCATGGCTTTCCCCTCCCCTGCAGGAGCTGCTCAAGTGGTATTGCACTGAAGCCAACAGTTTGTAAACATACTTCCCTCAGGCTGCTGGGAATGAGTACTCCCATTAAGACCAACTGCATGCAATCCTAAAACCTTCATATCCACTAGAGGCTCAGAGGCTGTAATTTTGAAATCTTCAAAGTCTAACTTTGTGGTAGTCTCCAAAGATAGCTACCAATGTTCCTCCCAACACAAATGTCTTTTCTCCTACCAAGAGATGAAGTCTAGGGCATCTGGGTGGCTCAATCGGTTAAGCGTCCAACTCTTGATTTCAGCTCAGGTCATGATCCCAGGGTCACAGGGATCCGTACTGAGCATGGAGGCTGCTTAAGATTCTCTCTCCCCCTGTGCCACACCCCCACCTCCCACCGTCAAGCTCTATTAAAAAAAAAAAAATGTTTAAAAAAATAAAAAGAGATGAAGTCTATTCTCCTTCTCCTGAGTCTGGGCTGGTCTTGTAATTTGCTATGACCATACAGTGTGGCAGAATTGATGCAATGTTGGTTCTGGGCCTGGCCCTAAGAGCCCAGGCATCTTTTGCTCTTACATCCTTAGAACCTATTTGCCATGCTGCTGAATAGAGAAACCACATGGAAAAGCCCAAGGAAGAAAACCTCGGCATCCGAGCTAAGGCTGGGAGGTGCTCTAACCGACACCATGTGGAGCAGAAGAACCACCCAATCAATATTCAAAGAGTTTTGAACAATAATAAATTGCTGTTGTTTGAAGCCACCAAAGTTTGGGATGGCTTGTTACATGGCAACGAATAACTGGAACCACCTCTATTCTGCTACACAGTGGCCAGACTGCTGTTATCAATGGTCCCCAGACTAATGTTGGCTATAGACAGAAATGGCACTGGGGAACTGCAGTGTAAAGTCCCCGCATGGGAGGAAGTAAAGAATGGAGTTCCTAACAGACCAGCCTCAGTTTGAATGCCGGGTCTGCCACTTACAAGCTGTGACCTTTGATCAGTTAACTTAGGCTTCTTGTATGTATAGATTCCAACTATATGACATATTTCCTTAAAATGAACACAATTAGATGGCAGAAAATTTCATTCCTGAGTAAAACCAAGACAAAAAAGGAAAGAATCATTCAATTTTCTTTGGCTGTTCTGCCAGAAGCAGTCTATTTCTGACTTGGCCATTTTCTCAGAATATGACATAAAAATAGAAGAGCTGTGCCTGAATTATCCATTAGCGAAACTAACATCACATTTGAAAAGAAGATCTGAGAATTAGTTTGGCAAAAATCTAACTTAAAGTCACCATACTCTTGGAGTTACGGTAATGTGCCATTTTGGTTTCATACCCCATAACACAAAACAGTAAGGCAGATTTATAAGCTATTTTTCTTGCATTTTTGTGGAAAAAAATTATTTTGGTAAAAACTGTCATCAAACAGAGGCAGCAGATTTGCTAAACTCTTGGACATTGGTTATTTATAATATTCAAGGACAAAACAATTGACCTCAGTCTGAAATAAATTCATGACAGGCTATGTTTTTTTGTAATAGGGTATGTTAAGATGTAGAAGGGAACTGTAAAAGAAAAAAATCTGGTCATCAAAATTACATGAAAAGTTAAGATGTCTATTGACAAAAAAATATATGTAGTAAGTAAGCAAGTACATATAGGAAAATATAAGTAATAATTTATAAGCTAATTAAGTACCCATTAGTCACTTATGAGTATAGTTTGAAACGATTGTTACATTTAAGGGCAAATGGGGTCTGCCCCACAATGGAAATGTTCTCTGTTAATAACAGCATGGTCACATCCTGGTGTCTAAAATGTACCTCTGTCCTCAATGGCGTATCTTCAGTTTCTGCAATTTCAGAGCTGAAGGTGTATTCAGACTCATTGCTGCTATGAGTGGAGTCTGTTCTCTTGTGTCCAGGCTTAGGCACATTCTGCAAGGCAAATAAACCAAGAATAATTAACACAACATAATGAAAATGTTAAGTCATACTTAAGACAGCATCCACCTTAACTTGGTTCTAATACCCACTCACTGACTTGCTGTTCTCATGCCCAAATACGATGTTCCATGTTGTCCTTACCAAACCTTTACAAAAAGGTCATTTTCTGGACTCTTCAAAGAAAGAGAAAGATGCACCATCAGGGCATGACAAGAACACAAAACCAAATACTCAAATGAAAATCATCTGTGATTATTAGCAGAGTCCCCTTTGGGTTTTTAAAGTTGTGAGTAGCCAGTCACACTGCGTGAAGTGTAGGTATAACACTTCAGTACCCAAACACTGACTTCAGTGTTGCAATTACATAAAACTTGATAAAAAGCTCATGAAATATGTTTAATGAAAGCATAATCATTTTCCTGCACTGTATTTGAGCATAAGTGGAAAAAAAGAGAGGGGTTCTACATAGGTGACTATAAATTCTGCCATTTTTGTGCATGGAGTTGATTTTCTGGAGTCAGCAGTGGGAAGTGTGAGCAGTACAGGAGAGGTAAGAAATCTGTTCCAAGAATCCTCTGAAGTCCTGAAGTTACTGATTCAGGGAGTCCAAGTGACATTTCTATGACATGTGGTACCTCTGAGATTAGCATTCAGAAAGCTGATGGAAAACAAAAGTTAAGCAATTACAGTCTGTTCCTTCGTGTAGGAGAAAGGGTTAGAGAATGACTTGAAGAAAGAAGGAATAAAAAGGCTGGGTTTTGTACCCCTCACTCCTGGGGTGTTCCCCACCCCCCCAACCTCAGACGAGGTGAAAATGTCCAGAAAGACCTCTGGAAACTTTTCATCTGTCCAATTTCCTTTACTCCTTCCCCCAGCTGCAGGAAGAGCCAGAAGCCACAAAGAGCTTCTTTGCCTCTCTCTCTCTCCCATAACCAAGCTTATAGAGAACAGACCCAACTGCGTGACTAAAGGAAAGCCAGCATCCAGGGGCAGTTGAAAGTCTCCAGGCCACCGCAACCGGTACTCTGGTGCATAAGGAAGATCCAAGAACACCAGAACTTCTGAAACTAGCTAGCAGCTAGGGTCCACCCTAAAGGGGACAATCACTCCACATAAAGTCAAAGGCACTCAGATTTACTTTCTGTTTACATACACCGGCAACGTTAAAGTTCCTAGCCCCAGCCAACAGGTGTATGGGACGCTGTTTATTAATTGGTTGTGTCATGAAGAAAAACAGGTCCAGGGGCGCCTGGGTGGCTCAGTCGGTTGAGCGTCCGACTTCGGCTCAGGTCATGATCTCATGGTCCGTGAGTTCGAGCCCCGCGTCGGGCTCTGTGCTGACAGCTCAGAGCCTGGAGCCTGCTTCAGATTCTGTGTCTCCCTCTCTCTCTGCCCCTCCCCCGCTCATACTCTGTCTCTCTGTCAAAAATAAATAAACATTTAAAAAAAAAAACCAACAAAAACCCAGGTCCATATAAATACGGAGACAAAGGGTTTTAATAAGCTTATTTAAAGATGAGTTAGACCCCTATTTTTCCTCATGTATGTATTACCAAACAACAAATAGCCGAAGGTATGAATAGAAGCAATGCTATGTCTGTGATTTAACGTAACTTTTGTATACAGGACAGTGGTTAAATGCTCTGAGTCTATAGGAGAGAGCTGGGTAGGAATTCCAGGTCTGCCATTTTCTTGTCCCTTACTTCTCCAGGCCTCACCTTCATTATCAGAAAAAGCTAGATAATAATATTATCTACCTAAGAGGGTTTATGTGAGGATTAAATAAGATAGCGCAAGTAAAGAGCATGGTTTTTGGCACATAACAAGGATTCAATTAATGTTAACTGATGTTGCCATAATTGTTAGGACTCTGAAGTAATGCAACAACTCTCTCATGCATTGCCTTTTGTTCCCCAAGTTTTTAGTCCATATGCTATTCAATTACAAGGACAAACATACTACTTGATCATCAAGTGCTCCTTCAAGATCTGCATCTCATGCTTCCTCTTATCTGTCATTTCTCCAATAATTCCTTCTTTTCTTGGACCTGTCTTACTCCCTTCGTCAAGATTAACGACCCCACTGTTGACACGCAGGACTCCCTCCTTACTTGGAATGAATTTATCTTTAAACACTTCACAAGCTAAGTGAAATAAGCCATACAGAGAAAGACAGATACCATATGGTTTCACTCTTATGTGGATCCTGAGAAACTTAACAGGAACCCATGGGGGAGGGGAAGGGAAAAAAAAAAAAAAAAGAGGTTAGAGTGGGAGAGAGCCAAAGCATAAGAGACTGTTGAGAACTGAGAACAAACTGAGGGTTGATGGGGGGTGGGAGGGAGGAGAGGGTGGGTGATGGGTATTGAGGAGGGCACCTTTTGGGATGAGCACTGGGTGTTGTATGGAAACCAATTTGACACTAAATTTCATATATAAATAAAAAAAATAAAATAAAAAAAAATAAAAATAAACACTTCACAAGCCTGTATTCCATTGCTTCATTATCCTTTCACTGTCTGCTTGAATTTCCTTGGCCCTGGATTTAGTATTTTCTTCCTTCTGCTCTACAACTGAATGTTCCTGGAGAAAAATCCGACAACACTTCTTGGTACCAGGGCCAACAAATCTAGTAATCACTGGTAATCAGTGCCATTAACTTTGGCCCATGTATCACAGGTTACCAGAAGCGCTGAAGCAGTCTTTCAATTCCCCATCCCTAAAGTTTCCTGCCATCCATTTGAGGAGTCTATTTACCATAAATGCTTCCTAAGCATTATGGCAGTGAGAGCTGCATCTGCAGAACAGTGTCAATGATAGATTAGCTGAGTACCCATCTGTTAGTTGTGAAGTCCCTACCTAAACATTAAAATAAGATATTGCTATTATTTATTTATTCCTAAATTATAAAGTCCATTTTTTAATTATCTGCAATTCTTGGCAAATATTTTCTACCAAGACTGCAATCTTCACTATGTCTGGAACTAGGAAAGGGGACCTAATGAAGAGCTGAGTAGGAAGCAAGTAGATTCTCATCTTCCTTCCTCTGCTATTTTCCTTTTCCCTCCTTCTGACCATTTTGTTACCCAAAAGGAAGGACAATGAGTCATCGGCATACAAAAGAGAGGGTTATAAGCTGAGAAATAAGAAATTAAGCAGCTAAACTGTCCCTGGAACTTGATTACATCTTCCTTTTTCCATAGCACTTCTGGGAACAGAATGGGTAGCAGGCAGAGACTTGCTCAGCAGGAAGGAATAGCCCTGCTAAGTTGCTGGAGGATGGCCATTACTGGAGGGTCTTTTTTTAGACATTTCCAGAAATGTGCTCAGAAAGTGATGTACACGTGGCACATGCTTGTCTCATTTTATTTCCTGAGGTTCACAAGACATGCAGTATTAAAGAATCCCAGAAATTCTGAGGGAGAAAAAAATTTGTTTATCTCTCTTTCAACAGAGATAAATGTGGCTCTCACACTTATTTGACCTCAATCATTTCTTTTCCCAATGCCACTTCTTAACATCTCAAGTAACTAGTGTCTTCAGAAGCACCTCATGGGACACAAAGCTTAGTGCTAACCAAAGCATAAATTAACCATAAACGCTGGCACAGTTATCTAGAAAATAGGATAAAAATACACCCAAGAACGGAATTCTGGGGAACATGATATTCAAAGACAGAGGAAAAGGACTCTAGGGAAAGCTAAAGATGGGAGAATGTAAAGGAGGAAGATTGCAGCAGGGAGAGCACGGAAGACAAGATTTAATGAGGCTCCTTTTGATTTGTCAATGATAAGGATAATGGTGACCTACTCTTATAGTTTCTCTTTGCCACGTTCAAATCAGGATAGAGTAGCAAGGTTTGAAATAACTGTCCAGCTGGCATTCAAATTAGCTTTTTTAACCTCTTTGAGACTAGATTTTCTCATCTTCAAGGTGATACATTTATTTCATTTTTTTTGTATGTTACATAATCTCCTTTATTTTCCCTTGTTAAATGTCATATTTAAAAAACATTGTCAAAGGGTACAGATAAAGGCAAAATTTGAAGCAAACATTCTCTGCCACAGATATCTGATTACCTTGTTTTTTATAAGACATATTTCAGAGCATTTCTAGCCACGGGTACCATCAGGTTACCTTCAAGGCTGGCACCTACAGGGAACAAGAGAGCTAGGGAACTCTTTGTTTCCTGACAGCAAGATAAGTAGAAGTAAGACGCTGTAAGAAACTATTAAAAGTATGAAAGATACATTGGTAGATGCAGAAGAGTTCTTGAAATAGATGAAATAATTTGTTACAAATAGAGGCTGAACTTTCCTTTTGTAGGAATATATCTTTGAAACTGTAACAAAAACTAGTGAAGGAAATACTCACTTATATAAATATTTGCTTTACATGCAAATTTTACATGAAGTCATCCAATACATAAAATGAAGTCCAGCTATATGACTTTATACTAACCTACAGTCCAGTCTTTAAAATGTTTGACTTTGCAAAGTATTTATGAATAAAGTTATATGATTTGTGGGATCTTCTCTACAACAACTCAATCCACTGGATAGGGTGGGAAGGAGGGATAGAGTCGGGGTAGAAGTGTGTCGGCCATTTTGGAATTGGGTAATAAGTACATGAAGTACACGGGGATTCATTCCACTATTCTATCTGCCTTTATAAGTGCTTAAATTTTTTCATTAAAAAAAAAAAATCAAGTGTTTGACTCACTACCATCAGAGTCATCTCTTCCTTGAGGTCATCATATCGTTCTTCTAAGCGACTGAACTCATTCAGAAGGTTCTGATATCTCAGCCTTTCATCATTAAGATCGAGTTCCAGTTGTTTTGTTTCTTCTACTAACTTCTTCTCCATAGTCTCTGAAAGAAAGAAGAGAGAAAAGCATAATAAAGATGGCTCTACAAAAGTCAAGAGTACAAACATTTACACTGACTCCCAGCTTCTCTGCAAAGAATTTTTTTTTACCACCATGATCTATGAAGAGTATCTTATTGAATGTAGGGAAAGAGAAAATACCATGACAAAAAAATGAAATTGTTTGTTAATAACAACAATCATCTACTGAGTTCTTCCATATACTATGGATTCAATGCCACTACTTCATTCACTGGTTATGGCACATCCTTGATAAACTTCTACTAGTCATTGTCTAGAAACTAAAGTACTGTATTTATTTTTTATTCCAATATTCTGTTTCAGGCTATCACAAAATTCTTTTGTCCAAATTAGTGTACTCTGTCAAAAAGTCAGAGATAGTTCTCAGATCTCTGAGGGAGTGGCAAACTCTCAAGGAACACAGCTATCCTTTGCTACAGTCAACTCTCTGCTCACCTCAGTCCCCAGGCTGAGATCTTATGTTTTCCAGCATGCTGAACCGCCCCCAGTCCTATTACTCTCCCAATTCTAACCAGATAAGATCCCCATGTCTGGTCATGTGTGTGGTTACTTCTCCTGTGTGCTGCGGGGGGCACCCTGAACTTTCCGTTTACCACCCCATTCTGCTCACTTTGTTGCCAGCAGCTTGCATTTGCCTGGGATGTCATCTGGAGACTGGAGACGAGCCCCTGACTATAAATAAAGCAAAGTAAAAAAGCCACAGATCTCAGCTGTATGTTTTAACTCACTGAGTCAACCAGTCACATCTATAAATGTATTAAGCTTCCTAATATTTATATGGCCCACTTTATCCTCATGCTTTGTGACTAGACCTTAATCTGCCCTGCTTGCTTTGATGGCTTCACCATTTCTTTCCCCATCAGCTCTATCATAAGGGCAAGGGCCGCAAGTGCCTTGTTTCTACTGCTTCCCTGGTGCCCACTACAGTGCTTCCCTAAGGTAGGGCTCTACTAATGTGTAAATCAATGAGTGAAAGAATCTCTTCTCCCTATGACATTCTATAAATTGTCTTGTTCTTACCAGTTTGCAGAAGCTGCCTGAGGCTACCAAGAAATTTTCCCTAGGCAAATCCAATGTTATTTCTTTGTTCTTCTCATCCAATTTCAAGTAACATTTTACAATTTCCCAGAAGTATTCTCATCATTCTGGATCTTTCCATTACATTCTGCTTCCTAGTAGCCTTCTTTCCATGTCTTCAGTGACTGTTTCAATCTCTCCTATCAATTTTCCTTTCTGGTTTCTTTTCTTCACCTTATCCTTTACCTGTGAACATCCTATAAAGCTTAATTTCAAGATTTCTTCTCTTTTCTTTACATTAGTCCCTTTTAGGGAGGAGGTGGTAGGGGAAAAGGCACAGAGGGCTCTCTTACTATCATAGCTTTAATGGTACCTTAAGGCCTATTTCTTTCTGTCTCTAATCTTTAATCTCAATTTGTTTTTAGGACATCTCTATATAGAGGCCCCAGCTGACATCCAAAATTTAACATTCTAACAACTGATCTCATTAATTTTATTCATAAACAAGTATTTTCCCCCTTATTTTACTCATTAGTAATAACACATCATTATTGTTGAAATAGCTCATGTCAAAACTTTAGAAAATTTTTATCCCTTTTTTGAATACCTCATCAAAAAGGATAATGTTCTGGTAATTCTTTCATATACTGTATCTTTGCTCCAATCCATTTATTTCTCCCTGTCTCCACCACCAATTACTATAGCTTAGATCTACATCTTCTTAGCCCATGTTTACTTACATGTGGACTACTTGTAAATTATCATAATTCTTATCTATCTTACAAATGGAAAATGGAGTAAATGTCCACATCTAGTTAGTTTTCTATTCAAAAAATTAGAGTTGCTTTTTTTTTTTTCTTTTTTGGTGGAAAAAAGGTAATCTATCTTGGGAGAATAATATCTATTAGTTTAGCAAAAAATAAGTAAATAGACATGCATACGCATTAGCTCACGATTTCTTCCTAATTCAATAGAATTCTATGCGTCATAAGTAACATCATAAATGGAGAACAATTCATTTTTTTTAATTGCAGATGATAGTGACTGTACATGAATTCACATTCGTACATAGAAAGATGAGATTTACGAGTTCACCAACTAAATCAAACAAAATACTTACTGTGCTTGCCTCTTGGAACTTCCTGAGTTGAGGGATGACAATCTCAACTTTTTAAAACATTTAAGCTCTAAGCAAAGTTGTAACTTAGAAAACGTTGGTCTGAGGTTGGCTGAAGCACTGTAGGTTATGGCCACGCGAGCCTTACCTGTCATCTCCTTAGCCTGCTCCACGATAAGATGATTGAGGGCCTCTTTTTCCTGCTTCAGCAAAGTATTTTCTTCCTTCAGATTTGATACCAGCTATAAAATAAAACAATAAACTCAGGTGGCTGCAGTAGACAGAGGACACCCAGTACCGAATATAAACACCACACAGCAGTCCCTCCTTACTTCCACATCTCTGTGCCCCATTTCTGTGCCTAGTTCTATCTAGTCTTCTTTCAAACTTGGCTCAAGAATTACTCCAGACAGCCTTCCTGGAAACTCCCTCCAATTGGGTGTCTCTCCTACAGGACCCTGTATGTACCTCGTTACAGCCCTTATAAATGATTTACTTTTCCTTCCCCAATAGACTAGAAATTCCTGGAGGATGGAGATAACTGCTGTTATTTTACTTTGTACCTTGAGCATTTAGCAACTGCCTGACACCTAGTAAGCATTTGCTCTTGAAGGAATGATAATGCCTTCTCACCTCAACAGCCTAACACAAAACTTATGTGTACTCGTGATTCAGGTATTAAGAGAGATTAAGAAGGTTCAGAAAGATATGAAGGGCATTTTGGTTCTGGAATTCACTGAATTCCTTCTGAAGCTCCCTGCTGTCTGTCTTGAGAAAGAGAATTTCCCTTTCATCTCCTTTTAAGAGTTTTACAAGGTTGCAAACTGGTCCTTTTATTCCATGTTTAAGCATTGGCCTTACAACAGTGTGAAAGTATTTAATGCCACAAAACTGCACACTTAAAAATGGTTAAAGTGGTAAATTTTATGTTACGTATATGTATATTTTGAAACACACACACACACACACACACACAGACACACACACACAGACACACACATAATAAACAAAACACATTGACCTTTCACTTTCTAGTTCCCAGTTGGATAAGGATTCCCAGGAAGCAAAAATCAAAGCCAAAGGTTAACTGTGCAAAGTCTATAATTTACTCAGTTCATCGTTGAAATAAATATGTGTTTGTGATGAGTGAAATTTGAATTTTTCTCTAAGCATAAATATAAGGAACTCTTAAAGTGATAGCTTCATTCATTCATTCATTCTTAAAGTAAGCTCTATGCCCAATGTGGGGCTCAAACCCATGACCCTGAAATCAAGAGTCACATGTTAAAACAATAGCTTTAATAATAAAGAGAAAACTATCAGGAGTTCAGAGACAGAGAAAGAGGGCTCTGTGACTGATAATCCCTAAAGACCAGGGAGGTTAGACAGGAATACTGTGCCAGAGCAGAAGTCAGTCCAGAAGGTATTCCTTCTGATGGCTCAGTCTCTTCCCTCCATACTGATATGGCCTTAATAGCTGCTCTCAGTAGAAAGGCCAGAGTTCCCTATGTGCTTGTGAAAGAAGTTGCTCTGTCAGCGGTGTGCAACCAGTAAACTGTGCTGCTTCTTTGAAATACACGTGCCTAGCCCACACCCCTAGAACTTGGCCAGGCATCTTTCTAAAAACTCTCCAGGACATTCTGATACACACTCCTGGGCACAAACCACAGGTCTAGTGTACCTTCTAAGCTCCTGGCTGGGAATGTAGCTTTTCTGACCACAAAGCTGGCTGTCACAGTGGAATTTTTTCATTCTTCTCGATTGCTACACTCTACTCAAAAGAATTAATGGTAGTGCCTACTGGAACACGTGGGTGGCCCAGTCGGTTAAGCATTGGACTTCGGCTCAGGTCATGATCTCAAAGCTTGTGAGTTCAAGCCCTGTGTCAGGCTCTGTGCTGACACCTCAGAGCCTGGAGCCTGCTTCGGATGTGTGTATCTCTCTGCCCCTTCCTTGCTCACATTCTGTCTGTCTCTCTCTCTCTCTCAAAAAAAAAAATAAAATAAATAAAATAAACATTAAAAAAAATTTTTTAAGAATTTATGTTAGTGCCTATAGCTCTCTCTGGGGAAAGCAGAAGATAATGAAATAAAAAGAAAGGAAAAATCTCAATCTGTTCATGTGTGCTATTCTTTCAGACTAGAAAGGTATGAACTTAACTTTGAAGAGGAAAAGAGAATACTCCTACCAAGCCTAAATACCCTATGGACTCAGAGGAATCTGAAAAGCTTCTGTGGGCTCAGGAAATGAAAAGGAGCTCTTAAGCTTCAAGAATATCCCTTTCAATGCATATTTGAATTCTGATAGAGTAAGTTTATCATGTCAAAATAACGTGTTTTAAAGGCATTGTTGTTTCTGTACACAGAACTCAGATCTGCTAGAGACAGAGGAGGAAGTATTTTATTAAGACCCTGAACACCATGGAAAGATTGTATACTATCCTATCTGAATTGCATCGTAGCTCTTTCCAAGGTTTTTACTGCATAGGCTGTATTAATATTCAGAAGTCAATACAGAAAAAGTATAGGAAACTGGGAGTTTTGCCAGTAGTTACAGCCAACAGTCAAATCTGTTTTCACTTAAAAATGGTAATACTAGTGGAACTTATGAAAATCTATCACTTTTTTCAAGTAAGCTTTATGTTGAGGTACTTTTGTTTATTTTTTTTTTTTCAACGTTTATTTATTTATTTTTGGGACAGAAGGAGACAGAGCATGAACGGGGGAGGGGCAGAGAGAGAGGGAGACACAGAATCGGAAACAGGCTCCAGGCTCCGAGCCATCAGCCCAGAGCCTGACGCGGGGCTCGAACTCACGGACCGCAAGATCGTGACCTGGCTGAAGTCGGACGCTTAACCGACTGCGCCACCCAGGCGCCCCGAGGTACTTTTGTTTAAACAATACATTGTATCGCTGTTTGAGAACCTTAATGTTTTCCGTATTTAATAAAATTCTGATAGAAGTTAATATAAATGTGTGTAATGTAGAAGCACCAATATGCAGGCATTCTTGTTATTGTTCTATCTGCACAGCAGCTCCTGGCTACCCTCAGGGTGCAGACATTTGGATTTCTCTCTCTCGGACTTCTAACACAGCCTTGATGTGGGTTTCCATAAAGATCTCTACTATCAGCTAGTGACATTTCACGGTTTGATTGGTTTCTTAATCATGTTAACTCTTTTGAAGCAAAAGGAGTCTACACTTCATCCAGACCTATGTATCTAAAGTAAGAGTGAGAGTAGGTACGTGGCCTTTAATTCTCTTCTTTGCCTCTGATCTTACTAGAGTCAAAAGATTCTACTAAAAGACGCATCATGTGGGAGAAATGCTTGGAAAATACTAATAAGGAACAGGAAGCAAACTGACATTTGTATTTCACCTTCAGGTGAAACCAACACTGAGCCACATGGGCCAGGTCATGATGACAGCACATTTCCTTGGTGAAAGAGGTAGATGGGGATACGATAACTAGATCCTACCTGCTCAGTTTCCTGTTTGTACCTATCTGCACGCTCCTCAATGGATTTTTTCTCCGACTGAGTTTGTTCCAGGTCTTTCCGGAGCTTGGCAATTTCTTCCTGCAGACTGAGGACCCGTCCAGTGGCAATCTTAGCTTCCTCCTCACTTAGCTGAAGACGCTCCAAGTCACTTCGTAGTTTCTCAGTCTCAGAGGTGTATATTCCTTCCAGATTGGTCAGTTTCTCCATGAGGCATTTGTAGTCTTTGTTCTTTTAAACATATACATAAGTAACAATAAGTAAACATATGTATCATCAAATGTATTTTGAGATAACCTTATTTATTGATCATATTCATGCTGTATCATCACAGCAACAATAGAGTATCTAACCGCAACCTTTACAATTAAGGCCTATTCTTAGGGATACAAAAAGAAGATTAGGCACAGTTAATTCTGTAGCATGGATGTGATTTTCTCACAGTCACAAGGTAAGTACCACATTAAATTCTTAATTTCCTATTCTTAAGCCAGAAATAGAAACATCTATACTTGCTTTGGAAAACAAATCCATATTCTATAAAAGCCATATGCTCCCAAGTGATTCTTAAAAATGATAAAATGGCCACAAAATTGCAAGTTACTTACAAATCGTTTTGTTACCTTAAAACTCCTCCCACTCAGAAAACCTTCCTGATGGATCCTGCTTTATTCTGTTTTTTGGGTTTTTGTGTGTTTTTTTGTTTGTTTGTTTGTTTTTGCTGTCCTCAGTATTTGTATATTACCAATTACCATTGTATCATTTGCATGTGCTAAAATATTACTTAGTAACTATCTCTAGGAAATCAAATTTTATCTCTGCAAATAGACTGTAAGCTCCCCCAAAGCACAGACGTCTTCCTGCTTCTTTTGCCATCTCAATGCTAAACGACTCATCTGTAAAAGGAACATTATACTTTATGCAAATGAATGATAATGACAAAAGAGATTTAGAAAGTATAAAGTATAATATGACTCTTGGGCACTAAGGTCTGGCTGTAAATTTCCTCCCTTAGTCCTTGCAATCATAGTCTTACCTATAAGCTTGTTACTATTTCCGTACTCCTTACTGTCATTATTATTTTACCTTTTTGCTGCGACTGAAAAGTAAAATAAGGGGAGATACTGCTGAAAATAATCCCAGTGGAGTTCTTCAAGCATGCCCCACTCTCAGGGCTCCTGTTTAAAACACACCTGGTTGGGTACCTGGGTGGCTTAATCAGTTGAGCATCCAACTTCGGCTCGGGTCATGATCTCATGGTTCGTGAGTTCAA